GAATTAATGGTGAATTCATGAATTCGCAGCTCCAACATCCCCCCCCCCTTTTTTTAAGCAAAGTATGCAAGCAGGCTGACTTTCCAAGTCCCATACACTCCTACTTCTAAGAGAATAGTAGAACTTTGAACAGATCTCAGAAAGGGCTCTCAATATTGTCCTCACAAAGGTTTTCACATTCCAAGAAAAGGATAACTCAAGAAACCCTCCAGCCTTGGGCACAGAATTGGTAAAAAGAAGAAAAAACAGCAAGCTGGCTATATCTCCCATAATCCTCTGATACTGACACTTCCATTTTGGTTTGGTGGGAAACAAGTTTAAATATGAAGTACCACCAGTTTGCAGTATATTCATTCTATGTTACTGAAGTGGCAGCACCTTTTCTTCTGCCACATAGGCAATCCTCTTACAGGTTCCTTCTTAAGACTCTGCTCATCCGATAGCCTCTCTTCTTCAGTTTCAGCCATCTAGCTATCAAAATCACCCAGGCCCCTCCAGATGCAAAGTTCTGATGCTCCTCGTTTGAGCAGACACTTCATCAAATGACAGCGGCTGAAGCCGCAGCCACCACACCTACACTGCTCAGAGCCTGCCCAAATTTTTGCTCATATGGTGGCAAAAATAAACTGTCATTCACCACGTAGGGACATTTTGGATCATATTCAAACTAAGGTTTGAAGGGGTTAGTAGTAAGCCAAAGCATATGTTCATGAATACAACTGTGAGTAAGTGACTGAGTCAAACACTGTGTCTGATTGGATTCATATGTCCTTTTATATGTAGTCTCCATGTTGAAGAGATGAGTATCACTTCTAGATTAGAGAATGCCATAAGAATATTTGTGTATATGGTGTGTGGCTGAAGACAGGTCTCAACGAAGACCTGTCAACCATCCATTCTGTTCAACCAGGTACCTAATGAACCTCAGGAGTCAAGCTCCTAAGTGATACAAGGCATTGCAAAGATCACCCAGCCCCTTCTAGAGATGAACATCCAGTGCTCCTTTTTGAGCAGGCACTTCATCAATTTTTTTCTCGCTGTTGGGTTCATCCATCCCACCTATCCCAAGAATGGGACTAGCAGGCTCCGTCATTCCCATTTCTGCTTTCTCCGCCCACTACGAGAATAACAGCTTTCCCGTTGACTTGTTAAGAGTCTCACCTGTTGGCTCGAGGTGAACGGTGGTGTGGAGAACGGACAAGGACTCGTGGAACACACGACGGATGCTGCGGGCGATTTCACCTGGGAAGAGTGACACGTCGCCTGCGCCTGATGCCTCACCACATCCGAGCAACTCATGATACCCGCAGGACCTGCTCTTGGTGGTCCCTGCAGCTCTACGCTCCGGTCGCAGCTACCTTTTGCCAAGCGATCTCGACCACGGTGCTTTGATGGGACTGCGAAGCCAAGACGCGTTCATCTTCAGCAGGCGGCCACTTTAACACTTATATAAGAAGTTCTGAAGCGGCGGCGGCGGCGGGCGCATAAGGAGGCATCGTAGCCACGGGGAGGCAGAGAAGCGCAATACGCCTCTGTCGCCCTGATTATCATATACGCAATACGGAGCCCCCACGCTCGACCAGTTGCTAGAGCACCAGGCAGCGCGTCTCAACTTAGGAAACTCCGCCTTGCCCTCTTCGGATTGGAGCAAAGTTTGCATCGAGACTGAAAGTGGACTGTCACAAAAAAGAAACGGCCGGATTCCCTCCTTTATGCAGGTTGCTAGTGCGCGCTCTGTTCAGTGTTAAGATAGGGGTATTGCGCGATGGGGATGCTGTCGTATGTTTTGCTTCGCGAAAGCGGGGAATAGCAACTGCGCCCAAGGAAGGATGGGGAAATAAGTAATTTTTATTTTATTTTGCTTTTGCTTTTGCTGTCAGTGTATTTGGCAATTTGAAATTCATCGTGGAATATGCATCAGCCTCTAATTTAATTTTGCATTACATTTTTGTAACCTTAACCTAAAGATGAGACATACAACGAGGAAAAATACCCAACAAATTTTCGTTCTAGTCGCAGCAGGTACAATGTCAGTTGTTTTCCTAAAGTATGTTATAATAGTCAATCTTTACAGGCAGATTTGTAAAATAATTTCAGAGATGAGAAAATAATTTCAGGAAAAAAGAAATGACAAATCTGTAAGAATTGATGCAGATCAGAGCTTTTCTTTTCTTGTGAGTTTTAAAGGGACTCCTTGCGCAATTTAATGCCAAAGCTCATAAAACTACCACCAAACCATTCCCGACTGGAGCATTTTGTGAATTACTGCTTTGCTAGCAGTGGAAATGCTATTATTGCCCAAATGCACTTTTGGAAAAATGCTTATAGTTTCCGTTTCTGGTTTTCTGGCTTCCCACAATATGGGAACCAAATAGTTTATATTTCAAGGGAAGGAAATAGTGCTGAATTTTTGTTTTATTTATGCAACATTATTATTATTATTATATTGTGCGTGCTTTGTTACATTGTTGACAAAAGGCAAATTCACACTAACTCATCTCTCTGCTTCTATGCTCTGCTAAGGCTATAGAATGCCCAGAATCATTGTATTAGTATATTATTGCTATCCATCCAGAGGCAGCATATGGCAGTCAGACTATCAATTGATGGTTACCATATAATCAGGGGTGAAATCCAGCAGGTTCTGACAGGTTCTGGAGAACCGGTAGTGGAAATTTTGAGCAGTTCCAAGAACCAGTAGCGTAAATTTTGAGTAGTTTGGAGAACCGGCAAATACCAGCTCTGGCTGGCCCCAGAGTGGGGTGAGAATGGATATTTTGCAATATCCTTCCCCCAAGAATGGGGAGGGAATGCGGATTTTGCAGTATCCTTCCCTGGAGAGGGGTGGGAATGGGGATTTTGCAGTATCCTTTCCCTGGAGTGGGAGGAGAATGGAGATTTTGCAGTATCCTTTCCCTGCCATGTCCACCAAGCCATGCCCACAGAACCGGTAAAAAAATGTGGATTTCACCACTGCATGTAATGTTATAAACTGTTTCATATAATGCTTTCAGAAATTGCCACATGCTTCAACTCATTTTTTCCAACATTTTCATCAAACTATCATCCACCCATGAAGATGTAATTCTGTCCTCTATTGCAAGCAAATCACCCATGTTCATTAAAAGCTTGACCATAACTATATAGCAATATAGTCATGGGCATTTAAGTGGGTCATGAATGGCTGCTATATTGGATTTCATTGTGCCTTCATTGGGATACTGTAGATTTACCATCCACATATCCATTTTTTTTCCTGTTGAAAGGTGGCCCATTGTGTAATCTACTCCTTGGGGAGGGGTCACATGTGCAACCCATGTGTCAGTATGTCACTCACAGAACAGAACACCGAGGGCTGCATGTGGTTTATTCATAATGGCTGCTGCATGATGGAGACTGAATGATCCTCTTATTCTTTTCGATTTGTGGTGTGTCTGACTGCCTTGTCTCAGCCTCAGCATCCAGATTCATTGTTTGTTAGATAGGAGTTGCTGCAACAATAATGTGATTAGTCAGTGTTGCCTATCAGTTCCTTTACTTCATTGCCCTTTTCTCTAATGTTGCTACTGAAGAAATTATCCTGGCCCTGGTTCTGCATGGGGATGAAGGGGAAATGAATTGCAATTATTGACTGCTCTGCTCTGCAGTTTACTGGAAGACAACATAAGAGCTGGAATGGAAGTGTTAACAGCCACCCATGACCAACAAGGTGTGGATGAAGTACAAAGAGGAAAAGGTGTACATACAATGTGAGGCAACTGGTCAATCAGCAGCAGACTGCTACCAAAATATGTGGCCACAGGGGGTGTTCAGGCCCTTTGTACAGACTATTCCAGCAGAGGTATGCAAAGCTTTCTGGTTAAACAGGAAACACCTGTATACCAATGTATCAAAATTAACATGAAAAACACTCAACAATCTCCTTTCTTTTCTCCCACCTTCTCCTACTTACAGTGTGCTACATGTGCTATGAGGCTTGAATATTATCCATGCAAGTCAGACTCATGAACGCAACCCATATTCCTTTCACTCTATGGCAATACTAGGGAAAGCAGGTATCCTTGCAATTGTGGGTACTCAGGTTGTGGCATGGGGATTGAGGGAAAGCTAGACTTTATATCTGACCTGTTATTTCTTTTTAGCAGCCTTTGGATCACCAGCATCAATGTCCCCCCACTTGGAGGTTGCCAGGATAATGTGTATGGGTATGGTTTTATGAGAATAGTACAAAACCTGGCAACCATGTGGCATTCACAGTGACTCATGTATTTCCTATTGCCAGATCTTGCAAATCTACTATGCAAGACTCGACTTAGCAAGATGTGATACCCTGCCACAAAATATACAGGTTTCTCCAAATCAGTTAGGAAGTACCAAGGAAAAAACCACACACTCATTAGCACTTATATTATTACCTTGTCAGATAATGAAATGCCTACAAACAAATTATGAAGCTCAGAGAGCACCAAGAACTCCAACTCAGGGCAGAAGAAGCTGAACCATAGGTGGAGATTTAATAATAATTCAATTACGGTATTGAATAGTAATAATGAATTAATACTATTTCAAAATTACTGTCCTACTGGCATGCAGGACAGCACACAGAAGCAATGCTGTGATGCTAGATCCATTCTCTCACAATGTTTGTCACTGCCGTGTCAAAATTTCTCTTTCCTATATTGCAATATGGAAAGGATGGAAGTATACTGGGAACTCATCTGTGTGGCAAACCTGGTGGAATTTTTAGTAAAAGTACATACATTGGCAAGAGACTACAGATGAACAGCTATATATGATAATACATCAATCTACAACCTACACTTAATTATTGTTTCAGTTGTGAATCCTGTGCTTATGGTAATGAGCAACCAATTCTATTGCTCTTGGATCAATGCAGAGCATGGCACTTCTCTTTGATAGCCCCTATTAAAAAGGTAAGAGAAGCACAGTTTCTCCTCTTCTTAATTCTGCTTTCTGCTGCTTTCTCCACATTTCAGAAATGTAGGGACAAGAGATGATTAGACATCTATGGATTTTACTACAGCAGGGACTGGGCATCCCAGAAGAGCTGTAGGATACCTTCAAAGCAGACTGCAACATGCAGGTGACATGAACTCCCATAATTCCTTTTGATTCCCTATTCCCATTCCTATTTTTTCCTTTGCTTAAAATTGTGTTCTTTTCTAAAAAAAAAATAAATAAAAAGATTTTGGCTAGGGTATAATTTTGCTGTTACCTTCTGCCAATGTCCTATGTTAACATGTGGATTAACATGAATGGGCACAGGACTGTGTATTTGCACACAGCAGGTAGTCAGTTGCTATTCCAGGCAGGCACAGCTGCTTTCTTTGGATTTTACTGAGAACACAATCTGTAGTACAAATGATACTGAATCTGAAAAGCTACATATGGGCTTTCCTAGCCAGTGAATCAGATCATGGGTAAGCTTGCAAAGAGATGCCTACAGATATGAATAGAAACATGCACAAGCACAGACACAGAAATGTGTGAGTACCAATGCCTATCTACACACTATTACTGGTAATCAGTTCCATGTAATTGTTAAGAAACTGATAGTTCATGGTTCTATGAGTATCACAAAGATGGGCCATTTTTCACTTTCCTTTTGTTTTCTTGTCTCCCATTGCTGGAATGATGAGATAAGATAAAGACTTTAAAGTTTGTTAAGGGATCTCAGGAAATCTGGAATTTGGGGACAATATACATATTACAGTGACTGAAGGAACGAAATCCAGTTTTGATCAGATCTTGGAAGGAAATACTGCCTATCCTTCCCAAAGAGCCACATGGTAGAGATAGACTCCATAGCAAAACTCAAAATGCTTATTATAAGAAAAGTGGAACTTTAAAAGCAGAACCATTGAAAGAGAAAGTTTCAGGCAATCTCAGTCTCAACAAACAACTGTTGCATTTTTAGGCCTAGATATTTTTTTTCCTTTTCATTAGTTTTATTTTTTATTTTCTAAATTGCTATTTGCTTAATCTCTTACTTTATTAATATTTTCTTATGGAAGAACAATGATAATAAAAGAAATCAGGCTGTTCCTTTTACACAATCCAAAAAATGAAAATGTATCTATTTTCATCTTATTTGGTACAATCCATTTTATACCAAAAATATTTGAGTAAATTAAAGAAACATCTAAGACTGCATATACTGCATATGTCTTTATCAAACCTTTATTTAAATAATCACTGCTTTTTTATTTCCGTTTTATTTCCATTATTTTGCTATGAAGAAGGCATTAATAGAGAATTGAGAATTATTATCTTTGAATTATTTCTAAATAAAATTAATGTAAAGAGATATCTGCAGGAAAACTTTCAAACATCAGTTGATTTTTTATGTATACATTTAATATTTAAATTCTATTGATAGTTCCTGAAAGAATAATAATTTATATTAATAAGTCACAAAGCTCTATCTTTTAGAAAATGAAGCTTTTAAGCCATTTTAAAGATACCGTTTTCTTTTCTTTTTGTTTTAATAAATGAAAAAGGGCTATGCTTCTTAGAATTTTCAGAAAACTCTATTGGGCATTACTTACGCATGAAGATGTACAGCACACAAAATACTACTTTTTTCCTTATTTTCATCCATTTCATCTATATTCTACAATTAAAGAGTAAAGGGGGAGGGAGAGAGAGGGAGAGAGAGAGAGAGGGAGAGAGGGAGAGAGAGATGATAGATAGATAGATAGATAGATAGATAGATAGATAGATAGATAGATAGATAGACAGACAGACAGAGGATAAATAGATAAGAGAGAGAGAGAAATAGATATATAGATGTAGATGTAGATGTAGGTGCTTTGCTAGTTTGAAAAAAAGTAAGCAAGTCTTGTCTGCATGGTGCACAGTTAGCACAGAATAAATACATATAAAAAGCTTTAAGAACAAAGTACAATAAAAAAGAAGCATAGCAAAATATTTAGATATAAAGCGAAAATCCATAAAATGGACTCTGTAAGGACCCAGTTCAAAAGTAATTTCATATCATACACAATAAGGATTGAATTTCCAAGTTCTGATGCTTACAAGGATAAAATGCTAATTAGACTACTTTTCATTCAAGCGAAAATATGCTAGGGTACATTCACCAGTTTGTGATATCTGATTGAAAGAAACAAGGCCACACAGTTTTCTTCTTTTTTTAATAAAATATTTCATTTTATTTACATCAGTAGGAAGAAAGCTCAGCCAAGCTTTATCAGAACAGTCTAACAGCTTCACTCACTCAAACAACTGTTTATATTCTTTTGTGGGTGAGTCTTCCATTCAAACATATTTTGTTGGGAAATGTAGAAGAAAACCATTCTTTTTTTCCCCCTGTACTCTAATGTTTCTCCCAAGCTATTTTAAACAGGAATCACCTAACAAGTTATGATAGAAAGCTCAGCTATATGGATACCTATCATGTATGTATGTATGTATCTACTGTATGTTGCTAAATATTAAACATATTCTATCTTGAGTTAAGAAAAGCATTTACAAAATTTAGTGGCAATTTCCCATCTCTCAGAGCCAGTTAGCTTGGAACCACCTACTGATCTAACTATCAACCAATAGAAGGGCTAGCTATCTACCTATCTATTTTATCAATCTGAATCGATCTATTGAAGGTAAAGGTCTTATCACTGAAAGTTTTTTTTTATTTATTAGATATGAAAGCCAAATCTAATTTAACTTACAATAAAAAACAGATACCAGAAAGGAAGAATGTGAACAGTGCATAAAATAACTCATATAAAAATAACACTAATGGAGCTCCACAGCTAGTCAACTTTGAGACCTAGAAAAACAGTTTTTTAAAAACATCTGAGATGTCATTGGGATGGAAGACACATAGAAATCTGGCAGAAATCATTCCACAGAATAGGTGTACAACAGAAGATGCTTGTCCTGGTCAGATGATTCTCAGGTGATACACAAACACAAATTGATAAATGACTTGTCCCAGTGGTTTTATGTAGATATCAATAGGCGGGAAGGAAGCATCAATGTTCCACAAATGAAGAAACAAGGACACAACCTCTCTCTCCTGCTACTAGCTACTGAGAAAGGAGGAAAACTACTTATTACAATGCCTATCCACAATTAGTCCAAAATAAACGTGATCAATGATATTGAAATCTTCTGACAGGTCCATGCTAGCTCTGTTGGTCATTAGCAAGTAAGGACAATGCCATTTCTGTCCTGGACCATGGCCTGACACCTGACCATAATGGGCTTCCTCCAGGTCCTCTGCAAATGCTCTCAGATCATATTTTTAATATGGATCCAGCTGTCCAAGCGCTTAAAGTCCAAGGATGCCCTCTTGAGGAGAAAATATATCATTGTCTTCTTCACACTCAAAAGAGATTGACATTACTGCATGATGTACAGTTAATTTTCTGAATAGTCTTGGCAATCTAGTAGATCATTGAATCTAATAGCAGGTGGAGTTGCTTATGGTTATAGGCTAATTTTTACCAGAATCTATCATGCTGGTCCAGTGTGATTCGCTAAGGATTTTTAGCATGTCATTCTAGGCCAAGATCAATTGACTGCTCTAAAGTTGTCAGGTAGCTTTCACAGAATCATAAATCTATGAGCTAGATTGGAAGAAATTTATTCATTAAAATAAAAATTGATATTATTTTAAAATAGCAAGATGATTTTTAGTTTATGTTTTTATGTAAAAATAAAAATGATGATTACAATAAATGTAGGTGAATTTACATGTCCCAGGATAATATGGAAGGATCCAATCTGGGCAGGTCACCAGGGGCAGAGATTTAGTCTTCTGAACTTTCAGACTCATACTGGAGCCCATCCTCAGGGAATTCTCTTTAGCAAAAAATGTGCTTTGGACTATTCTGTGTGTAATATTTCTATGATACCTGGTTGCATGTGGCTTTTTAGTTGTTGATATGGGTGTTGATAACTGGTTATTAAATCATTGTTCACTTAATAGTCAGCCATCTACACCCCAACCAACAACTAAAAAGCCACACACAGAACAGTCCAAAGCACACTCTCTGCTAAAGAAAAGTTGCCTGAGGATTCAAGTCCAAAAGCTCAGAAGACAAAACCTCTAGTCCTGGTAACTGATTCAGCAAATATAATGTGGGTGTGGATGGATGGATGCTACAGATATTTGAAAAATATATTCCAAATGGAAAGCAATGGTATAAAAGACAGTAAATGCCAAACTTTACTTCATCTACTTTACCATAAGGATTTTGAGATGAATGCTCTATAATGATTTCAACATACAGAAAAATTTAATATATTCTGTAATGAATAAGGTGATATTTTATCATTTAAAATAACTTTTTCCATCAAATAACAAGATTTAAATTAGTTTCTTCAGAATATGTTCCTATTCAGGTCCAAGAAGAAAAGGGCTTACTTATTAAAAAGAAATACTAAATGGGGACTTTCTGCAGATGATCATTCATACTAGATTATTCTTTCCATAGATATCTGCAAAATCCTTAGAAATGAGAAAAAAGTAGAGTTCACATTATTGTATCAGTTATATGCAGATCTGAAGCTTGCTGTCTCTAATTTTTTTTAAAAAAAATATTGTTTTTTAGAATATATTGTTGGTTTTGTGCATGTTTGTGCTCATTCTTTGCATAATTTGCTGCATTTATTTATAAGAATTAATTTTCAGTATGAAAGATGGACCCTAGCTAAGTACTCATTTGGGAGAACATCTAGGAGTCAATGAGCATAGATAGCTAGACTAAAAACTGGGGGAAATGTTCAGAAAGGAGTAATGGCAAACAGTTATCATATTAGATAATGAAACCTGCCTCAGTAGGTCCATGTAAATTATGAGGAACTGAATTTTACCCAAAGGTATTTTATTTAACCTTTACATTTCAAAGCAAATTTAGTAGGTTGCAAACGAAACAAAGTGACACTTCTATTCTCCAAGCTACTTGAAGTAGCCATTTTGTTCTGCCTTAGACCACAGTTATTACATCAGGAGAACCTTCTGAAATTCAAGAAACATGATGAAATATAGAGGAAATCATTCTAGATCATTATATTTTTTCACATTAAATTTGAAATATCATTGCAACTAAAATGGCACCTTTATTAAAGCTTTATTGAGCCAATAGAAATATTTGTACTGCATTTTTTAATGTAACCAATACATTAGTAAAAAAAAATCAGACTGGTCTTTGGTTACTATTAAAATATGTATAATTTTTTTTAACCCTTTAATGTCAATATTATTCCAATTAGTTAAAGATGTTCCATTTTATATAGTTTTATAAAAACAAAAACAACCAAGCTGTTTCTTTCACCCTTTTGTCCCAATAAAACCCATGGCAATATCGGCAATCCTGTTTAATTTTAGGACCACATGCAGCAAGAATGAGCACAAACAGAAATTTCAAGTATTCAGAACCATGAATATAAATAAAATCGAGAGGGTGGCATACAGCACAAGTGATTTATTATTAGCCTTCCAAACAATGGAAGGTAAAATTGATTGAAGAAGATTATTGGAGATGAGATGGGCTTTTAGATCTAGCTCTTCAGATTAGACGATGCAGTGAGAGAAGTACTATGAGCAAAGAAAATATTTTATGTACAACTGAAGGTTCTGGGGTTTAAGTGTGTCTATTTTTTAACAAAGCAAAGGGAAAACAAAATAAAATCATCTACAGAAGAGTATAAAGGATAAGCAAAAGTTTAAAAGTTTACTTAGAATTTTTTCAAGAGGTCATATTTAACCTTTAAAGACCACACAAAAAGGTTTATGGCAAATGGAAGGAGAAGTGGAATAGGCTTCTATTTAATCAATAATAATGACAGCTGGTGTGTACTGAGCACAGGGATTAAAATTGATGTATGTTTATGACCATAGTTATTTGGAATTCTTGGAGAATAACTGCAATTCCCAATCCACATAACCAAAAGAGTTCAATAGCTTCAAACCTACACCTGTTAACACAAATTAACAGGCAAGCTATTGTGATGGTGGAAAGAAACTTGCCTGCTTATTCTTAAATTGGAATGAAAAACTGTTAATATACCAACTACATTAATTCAACAAAGAGACTAGAGCCACACAAAGATTGCCAATTTCACTTTGTAGATGGATCCTTGATTCCAAGCCATTTAATATAAACCCAATGGGAGGGTAGCTCATTCCAATTCTTCTGAATCAGAAAAGAGATTGAATCAGAAAATACATTTATTTTATAAACTTATACACATAAACAAACCCATTCCAAGCATTGCCTAGGAATAGAAAAACCTACATGCTCAAGATGAATACTTGAGTGTATAAAAACAACTTGGCTTAATTACCTACCAGTTAAGCACTTACACCACGTTGGGGCACAGTCCTAATAGAAGCCTAGGATTAAAACTCCTTTAAACTCAAGAAAATGTAGATCCCTCAGAAGGATTTAAAATATATGTTTAATAATCCCAAGCAGGAAATTTGTAGGATCACACACACATGCACAGACAGACTTTTTTAAAAAAATTCTCAAACTTTTCCTTGCATAGATTTATGGTTTTAAAATTAAAACTGATTAAGATTCTTATGAAAGACATTCTATAGTGTTGACCATTGCAACACAAACCTGATTCCACTGACACAAATACAATTTTATGCAGACATCATTCTATCACAAAAGGCAAATGTAGGTACTTAACATTGCCATGGCATCTCTATACTGACGCATAATGTTATGAAACAAGATTTGCTTTCAGGGTTTTTTTTCCTTTGTTTCACAGAATGTTACCAAGAATAATGACAGTCTATTATATGAGTTCTCTATAATAAAAGTCTTAAAGATCTAGACATTTTGCTTCTTAATATGGGGAGTGAAAAAAGATTTTTTATTTATTTACCTACCATATAAGTATCAATTCTGTATTGGTACTAGAAACTGGTCCTTGCAAGTGAAAAAATTGTAATGTCCAGTTATTTTGACAATTCTTTCTTTATAGGATACAATTGCATAAGGTCATCACAAGTTTTTCTAGTGGAATTCTTTTAGTGCCTTCAAATCCCTGCCCAGTCTCACTGTTTCTGTAAATTCTAGTCCACACACCTAAATTATCATGTGGAGTTGTTGTCAAAACTGCAACCAAGCTTGAATACTACAATTAAAATAAAACTGCATATTCTTCCTTGTTACTCTACTTCGCTGCCCTCTTGTTCTCATTTCTGAGAAACTCATCTAGGCAGGGACCAGCCCTGTCTAAACATAGCAAAGCCTTCTAAAATGATGGTAAAACAATTTTCACAGAACAAATGTTGCAAACAGTCCATATTGAAAAAGTAGATGCAATCAATCTAATCTTATATGTTTACTTATTTCATTCACCTCTTCAGCTATTTTCAATTCTCAGGTTCATAATTTGCAAGATAAATAAGAAAAATAAGAAAAGGAAAGGAATACTACAGCCTTAACAATAGTTAAGGCACAAGTTCTTAAGGTTAAAATTCTTATAATAGCCAAATGGGACCAAATCAGTTCAAATAACTTTATGAAATCAATACTGTTAAATGAAATAAAGAAAAAAATAGCAATGAATTCCAAAGGCAATGAATTCCACAGAAAAAGCAATAGAATATCCTTGGGGGGCTATTCTGTCTCTCTGTCTCACTTTGCCACAGTTTAAGAAAATGGTCTTGAGCTTTTCTGGATTCCTCTAATCTAAATGCTACTCTCACACTAATTTTTCTGTTCAACATTCAAGATTTTCCCATTCCTATGTTTCTTTTTCACATCTTCTTTAATATGCAAACCTGCCAAGTCTGTTCGATCTATTAAATTTAATTATCTTAAATATTAATTTTTACCATAGTCCTCAAAAGATCTTGGCAAAAGTGATCTAACACAAGAGACCACAGGAATGAAGGAGTTAAGACATCTTCAATTTAGTGGAAACGATGACCACAGCTGTGACATCATGAGCCATGGTGGCCCAGTGGTTAGAATGCAGCACTTCAAGCTACTTCTGCTGACTTCTGGCTGACTGCAGTTCGCAGTTCAATCCTCACCAGCTCTAGGTTGACATGGCCTTCTATCCTTCCAAGGTTAGTAAAATGAAGACTCAGATTGTTGGGGGCATTATTCTGACTCTGTAAACTGCTTAGAGAAGGCTGTAAAAGCACTGTAAAGCGGTATATAAGTCTATGTGCTGTTGCTATTGCTCAGGCTAAGAATGCATGCTTCAATATTTGAAGTAATTCATGATATTTGTGAAGAATGGGATTCAAAATAGCAGCTTCAATCTCATATAGATAGATTACATCTTGAAAATATTAACAAAGAAATTATTGATGCAAAATAAAAAGAATATCTTGGAAGATTTATAAGATAAAGAGACAAAACAAAATTTCTTTAATGACAAAATAAAGAATTTACAGAAGTCCTGGAAAAAAAGAATTATAAAACAGAGAAGTGGGAATATAAATGACAAGTCAAGAAATTGGTAAGACCAAGAAAAAAAAATCCCTTCCAGGTCAAAGAAGTTGATTAGAGTCTTAAAAGAACTTTCAGGAAAAATAAAAATTGAAAGGAGATCAAATTCTATGACACATCTAAGTAAACTAAACATTAATATTGTTGAAAGCAAAAGGATTGAGTATGGAATTGAGTATGTTTGATCAAGGTTAAAATGACATGTTTATATAAATCTAGGTTTCCCTTACAGACTTTTTGCTGACACTAGCAATGATATGTTAATGATTTATGGATAAGAGATGGGTTATGAGAAGAAGAGATATTTGCATATAATATTATAGGGGTGATGAGTTATTAAGTTTGTATTTATTATGATGAAGATCAGAAGGTACTTCTTTATATTTCTTTTTCTTATTCAAGCCCAGACTTCAGAGATGAAACTATATGTTACGTCCTGCAATTTTTTGAAATTGTAATTTCAAAGTTTCTCATAAGTTTCTCTGATGTACAACATATGCTCACTTTATGAAAGAACAATGTCCATCTTTTTGATGTAGGGATAATTCTCCACATGCATGTCCCTGCAGAGAAATAAAAGACAAAGTTGCAGATAGTATAGAGACTCCTATGAATACAATTTGTATCTCTAGAACAGTGAATTAGAGCCATTGTGTATTTCTTTAATTCTTAGGTACAAATTTATCCTTGAAGTATGATGACAGACACGTTAAAATATAGTGTGTTCGGGGTTTGGTATTCCTGCTTTTATTCAGTGTCCTTCCATTTTAACCTGTGGGTGTTAGTAGGTTGATTATTCCTTTCTGTGATATTTGATGGCAGGGTAGATCAGAAATTAATCATAAGGTTGATGGAGAATTGTCACTAGGTCTGTCTCATTTCCCTTACATAACTCTCACAAATCTCTTATGTTCCACATTGAACAAGACTCTAAAGCATAAATTTAGCAATGTGAGCTTGAGATACTACATTTGTACCTTCTGCTAGGTAGGTACAGTAGATAGAATAAGAGACATGATAAGGGAAGAGATACAATATCTGTGTTCTGATCCTCTCCAATTTCTCAATATACTTGATCTTTGGAAAAAGGATATTATGTTTAGAACTTTCAAATTACAGTAGAAATGATGGTGAATAATCCATGATGAGATTATTTCTGGCAATTCTTTAAAAAATAACATTGACTGGGTATGAGAATGCATTAAGTTCAAACCAAAAAGCTGAAAGTCCTGCTTCTTCCTCATATACATTTTCCACAACTAAATCCAATCAATGTGTTTTCTCTTCTAACTTAGACTGCAGTTCTAATTCTGATATTGTTGTTCTCTGACAAACAATTTACCAGGATCTCCTCTAGTTTTGCCCTAGTTTCTTTGATGCAAAATAAATTTCTACTCTAACATGTACAAGGCATGTTGAGCCATTTGAGATGTTTGTATATAACATGTCTGTTGTCAGTTGTATTGATGATTTTAAAATACTTTAATTGAATTCATTTGCCAAAGGCTATCCTATGTCTTAATATTTCTTCTGCAAGTAATACTTGGAGTGCCTAAATATGGAGATGACATCCTTGAATTATTACATAGTTTAAGCAGTCAATCTTAGAACAGATGCTTACAATTTCAAATTTACATTTGAAAGACTCAGAATCTATTTGGATTCTAAAACCCAGAAAAGAAGTCAAATTAATGAATCAATAGTATTTTCTGAAGTTGAATAATTACAGCATAATCCTAGATCTCATGTACTAGTGGGCACATTTTGCTATTGGGAATGCCACAGAACATGCTGTGTGGCATTAGAACAATGGCATCACTAAAAGTTGAGAAAAGATAATTAGTATCTTTCTAAATACAAATAATTAATTTGTACTTTTGAATTCCAAGCATCACTGTGTTGGACTGCAGTCAATCATAAATTTTAAGGCTGAATACAATACAAGTGCAGTTATTTCACTAATGGAATAATATTTTTGTCCTTCATTTACAAGTACTCCTTGACTTACAGACATTTAAGGACTGTTTGAAGTTACAACAGCACTGAAAAAAGTGAGTTATGACCAGTGGTGAATTGCCCCCGGTTCGGACTGGTTCACAAAAACCAGTACTAAAACAGGCAGGAGGCCCTGCCCACCGCCCCGGATGTCATCATCAGTGATCTGCACATGCACAGAAGCTTCTGCGCATGCGCAGAAGCAAGGTGCGTGCACAATCCTGTTGCGAACCGGTGTAAAGGTAAGTAGAACCCTGGTTATGACCATATTTCGCATTTATAACTGTTGCGGCATCCCTATTGGTCACATGCTCAAAATTTGGACACTTAGCAACTCACTCATATTTATGATGGTTGCAGTGTCCCGGCATCATGTGGTCACCCTTTGTGACCTTCTGACAAGCAAAGTCAATGGGGGAGCCAGATTTGCTTAACAACCATATTACTAATTTAACAGCTGCAGTGGTTCAACTGTGGAAAGAAAGGTTGCAAAATGGGGCAAAACTCACTTAACAATTGTCTTGCTTAGCAGTGGAAATTTTGGACTCAATTGTGGTCGTAATTCAAGGACATACACACACTCCAAATCTCTCTTGAGAAATTTGGGCCTTTGAAGTGTGTCTAACAGATTACAGTGTAAAAAAAATTGAAATACTCTATTTTTCAGAGTATAAGACGCACTTTCCCCCCCCCAAAAAAAGAGGTTGAAAATTTGGGTGCGTCTTATACTCTGAATGTAGCTTTTTAGAATCTTTTTTTCAGCCCTAATGAGGCCCTAGCGAGTAAAGCGATCTTCCATGCTTTTTTGCCTGCTTTTCTCAGTGCTTCTCTCTCCAAAGATCAGCTGTGCTTTAGAAGCTGTTTTAGCCCTAACAAAGTGCTAGCAAATGAAGCGATCTTCCATGCTTCACCTGCTTTTCTCAGTGCTTCTCTCGCCAAAGATCAGCTGTGTTTTAGAAGCTTTTTTTTATCCCAACCCAGTGCATATGAGCGCACGCGCACTCTCAAAACCAGCAAAATAATGTGATGAAGCTGACCAGACTAAGGATGCTAGCCAGATGAATATCTGGTAGGCAGATTTTTCCCCCCTATTTTCTTCCCCAAAAATTAAGGTGTGTCTTATACTCCAGTGCATCTTATACTCTGAAAAATATGGTTATGGTTATTTGGAAAAACATGCAGTTAAGTATCAGTCTGAAGTACTTAATCAACACCAAGTACTTTGACTAGACATGAGGTATGGAAGGGAAAATGGCCTGGAAAATCATTTGTGGGTGAGATAAAAAAGCACAACTTTGATGTACTCTTTTAAAGAAGAAAAATGGCTAGCCTTGATTAAGAAATAATTTTACTCAAGAAGATAATCAGAGCTTTAAACAGAGAGATATTTACTCAAAAATTTAGTGACACCACCCCATTGTTGGGAAATAAAGAGCAGAAAACTTTCTTGTGAATAACAAGTAAAGGAGGAAGCTTGAGTAGTTGAGTAGTTTGGCTAGTACAGATTGTGATTGAGGGGTACCCTGTACATAACTAGGCTGCATACCTAGCCTGCATACCTAGCTAGGCTGCATACCTAGCCTGAGACCAAAAGGAAAAAATCTGCTTAGAGTGTGCCTGTGTGATAGGATCATGGCTAACATAGCTGAGGAGGAGTAAATGGGATTAGAATGGGCTAGTAAGGAGGAAATTTATGGATCAAGCAGAAGGCTGCAATGACGAACACATTTGTTTTAACTGAAGGAGAATGGATGAATTGTTTGAATGTGTTCTGCACTTCTGAACTTTACTGCTTCCTTCAAGAAAACTTTCTTGTTGGGAGGAGGCAGAGACAATTAGCCAGCAGTTTATATTTTTCTTATTGGATAGAAGCAGATAGAGAGAAAATTGCCTTTTAGAGTTCCCTGCTGGTTGGAGAGTTGACAGCAGGTTTGTTTATAGTGATTTGAATAGAAACTAATAGGTTGTTGTTTGGGAAAGTTGCATCCTGGCAAGGACATTCACATCAGGAAGCTTAAGGAAGCCAAAATGGCAGGCACAGTAAAGATTGAACCAGGGGTGAAATCCAGCAGGTTCTGACAAGTTTTGGAGAACCGGTAGCGGAAATTTTGAATAGTTCAGAGAACCAGCAAATATCACCTCTGGCTGGCCCCAGAGTAGGTGGGAATGGAGATTTTGCAATATCCTGCCCTCAGGAGTGGGGAGGGAATGGAAATTTTGCAGTATCCTTCCTTTGCCATGCCCACAAGCCACACCCACAAGCCACTCCCACCAAGCCACGCCCACAGAACCGGTAGTAAAAAAATTGGATTTCACCACTGGATTGAACCCCCTCTTTCACATGTGTCAATATTGTTTGTGTGTGTAAAAAGGGATGGAACTTCAATCCATGGTAATGCCTGCAATTTTGCCCACTAGCCCCAGCTACATGCTCCTGCTACCGGGTCAGTTTCTTCAACACTATTGTGTTGTGCTATTGTGTGAAAAACAATGCTACTGGGAGCCATGCATATAAGGGAAACATTTTCTCAAGGCAAGCATGAGACAAGTTCATGCATCTGAGTTGATCAGAAAATAGTTTGGCCCTGTGTTCTTTCATGCCATTTTTCTTTTTACT